GTGAAACAGTGTAAATAAAAATGAAATTGATCAGTGGGTATTTTACCCATAAGAGCTTATGTTAATAGATGACAATCTTTAAGAAGCTCGAGTACTCGCGAGTAATAGAGCAGAAGTTGGGCTGAGCCATCAAAAAGTGATCCGATATTGAGTCTTATTTGAAATGAATATTGGAGTTCTTGTTTTTTTTTTAGTGTCTAACTGTAAGTAAAAATGCTGAGAAATATCCAATGATTGTTTTATTACAATATTAAACTAATGAGCACTTTCGAAATTTTGATACTATGATTGGTCTTTTTTGTTTTTTCAATAAAAATAAAATCTTACTTTTCAAAAACTTTTGCAATATATGGTAAATGCATTTCTAATGAATGTTCATCAGAATCTTGTTGTTTATTCATAAGAGAAAAAAGACCTGTTTTATAAAGTTCATTTGTTATTTGTGTATCAACTTTAATATCATATAATGGTGTTTCATAATGTGTATGATTAGTTAATGCACATGTATTTAAACTATAATGATGTGATGGACCTAAAAGAAATACACGATCAATATCAGATGGATCAATACATTTATATGCATATGCAGCTGTTGGTCCACTATAACTATATCCGGCATGTGGTGCAATAATAGCTCGAGTTTTTAATCGATTATTTGTATTATTATTAGCTTCTGTAAGCCATGTTGATAATTGTTGATCAAGATAATTTCCATCCGATTCATACCAACTTCCAGCATGTGATGCTTCACGAATTGAAGTTGTTGACATCTGAAAAATAAATATTTGATTTTGATGAATTTTTTTTTTTTGAAAATTTTTATTATTGAAAAAAAAAGCCAAAGTCCGAAATACATAGAAAAATCATATTTTATTTGTTTGTGAAAAAATCGATAAATTACTTATAAATTCATCTAATTTTTCAATAAATATTTCTTGATCATTATTTATTATATCTAATGCCGAATAACGAGGATTTTTTACAATATAATTGACAAATATCTATTAAAAGAATAAATAAAAAATTTTTTTTTGTATTCATTTCATTTTAAAAATATACTTACTGTACTATATAATTGATGTAAAATATGACGAATATTGTCAACATTATTATCTGTATTTAATATAAATTTTAATCCTGTTGGCGTTTCATAATAATGAAGTTTATAACAATTTGTTTTAAAACTTACAAAACCATCTTTTCTATAAATAAATAAAAAAACAAAAACAATAAAGAATTTATTTATTTAGAAAATAAAAAACAAATAAATCTATGTTACAAATCTGTAGGTGTTAGCCGTTGTACAAAAGATTTCACTGAATATATAAAACCATTCATTAATTTAAATTCCTAATAAAAAAAAAAACATAACACAATATATTTATTAATTTATTCATCAAAAATTTGATTCATGTAAATATACATAAAAGTTCTCGAAATTGATTTTTGCATTAATTGTCAAACTCCGAACAAATTTCTTTTCGAAAGTGTTCCTTTTATTCGATAGATAGATATATTCTCTTTCGGATAAAAAAAAGGGATTTTGTATTCGATCCTCAATATCAAAGCAATTTGAGTTTTCTAGAAAACATTGCCTAAGATTTTGAGAGCCTCAAAAACGAAATAAAATTAAAAAATCTTTTCCTTCATCTCAATCAATAAGGAATTCTCTTTGAAATGAGAACAGTTCGAATGCTGTAACTTAATATACATTGAAAACACATTTGAACGCGTAAAAGTGCTATTTTATACTATGACTTCTGAACAGTAACGTAAGAAATTTTCATAGAAACCCTATGGATCGTATCAAAAATTGATTTCGGAGTGGGGTGGAAGACCTTAATGTTTAGTTAAATAATTAAAATAAGTCTTTTAGTTCTATGATATGACAGATTTCGATCGTTTCACAGTTGAACATATAAAGATTAGAATAATAATTAAAACTAATTAATATAATGTTTTCTAGATTTAAAATAATAACTATAAAATTCATAGGCATTATGAATATAGAACAAAGTGTTGAAAAAACTCGATCAAAAAAAAAGAACATTCATAATTAAAAAAACAATTCAAGCAATTTACATAAGTTTCATTTTATATATAGTCGTTATGATCAAATTCGAATTAACTTTTTTTTGAAATACGATCTAAAAGAAATGTTGAAGTGTATATAGAGTTTCTTTTGAAATGATTTTTAATATTATTATTGATTCATATTTTTATTTCAATGTGAGCTTACATACTATGTCTAATGTTTGGTTTATTGATTAAAATGAGAATCATTTCATTAGAGAGAAAGAAAAAAAAAACATTCTTTCTAATATTATTGTTTACCAATATTTCTAATAAAGTTTCACATATTTCATCACGAGTTAGTAAATCTTTATTGAATATATTGTACTATACATAGCTAGCTTTTGAATAACGTGTATTCCATCATCATTTGCAATATAGAACAACCATTCGAAAAAGATTGCATAACGCATCCGAATACAAGATCAAAGATATCATAAATTTCATTGATGTTTTCTTCAATGATAATATATTAGACACATTTGATGAAGTTTTTCCAATATCTAACTTATAGTTTAAACTGAAATTTAGATATCACTAGGGATGTGCAGTTTCGGTGAAAACAGTGAAATACTGACAGTGATGTCACTGCACTGAGCGCACTGACTGCACTGACACACTGACATTGGTGTTCACCGAACCAGTGCATACACTGACACTGACTACACTGTCTGCACCGACATTGGTGTTCACTGAGTCAGTACATACACTGACACTGGCTGCACTGTTCCACTGTCTGCACCGGCATTGGTGTTCACTGAGTCAATGGAAATCTATATTAATACATCAATGTTTCATTCTACGTCAGTGCAACAAAGTGCAGTCAGTGTATCCATTGGTTCAGTGAACACCAATGTCAGTGCAGCCAGTAGAGCCAGTGCAGTCACTGTCAGTATATACACTGGTTCGGTGAACACCAATGTCGGCGCAGACAGTGGTCAGTATACTGAAACTGCACATCCCTAGATATCACTAACACTATTATAATTATGACGCTAATGAGTACAAATATTTTATCAGACATAAGTTCAATGAAACTTTGAAGAGAATGCTATGTAAATACTTATTTAAAAAAAACTGACCAAGAACTAATGATGTTCATCTTTCGACTGAACTTTTAGAAAACACTGTATGAAAATAGATAGTATACAATTTGAAAAATACATTAGAACAAGATGTTAGGATTCTTCGCAGTTGAATCCTAATCCCATAGTCGAACTTTAAATATTGATGTTTTTAATTATAGTGAAGTAGGATAGGTATAGTTTTTAATCTATTGTTAAATAACCATCTTTCTGAATAATGCATATTCTAATTCATCAATTAATATTTTGTATGTTCATATTAAGATTATTGAATGTAGAAACATCTAGTCTAAATTTTATTATTATTTGAAATTGAAAAAATTTTTATATTTCTTAATAAAATAATTTATCTATATTATTTAATAAACTAAAATAACTTACTTCTTCTTGTGTCATTTTTATTTGTCTTCTTCGTAACCATTCACGATAGAATAGACATTGTCCATTTCGATTGAAAATATATAAATTATAAACAACCATCTAAAAATGTTCGGTTTTGAATATTTTTTTTTTCTTTTTTAAAAGAGCAAAAAAAAAACGTTAAAACTTTATTTCTGGTTTTCAAAATCTCGCAAACATCATATAAATGTTTAACAAAACAGAAAAACAAAAATAAAGTCTGCAAGAGTATTATCGAATACAAGGTCAAAGAAAAATAATAATAATAATAAACTATAAGATATAATTAATAGTCATCACCTCGACTAACAACTTCTTTGCATGTAGGTCTTAATATAATTGTATGTTCGAATTGTGCTGTATAACAACCTTTTATATCACATAATGGTGGATATGGATTAACAACATCAGCATCAACAAGACTTTTTAATGAAAGTAAATATTTACTTTCACCTAAACGGTCTAACCATCGGCGACAAAAAGCTAATGTACCAAAATTTTTTGTTATTGTATTATATAATTGTTTAGCTTTAGCATTTCTAATAAAATAAAATATAATAAATAAAAATTTATTTTGCTCAATATTTTACCTAACAGATACTTGTTCAGCATCAAAATTTTTCATATAATGTGATACTTCCATATCATCATGTACAAGACCTTTACCTGTACTACCGAATGTTTCAATAGCATAAATTTCACCTTCCTACAAAATTTTTTTAATAAATATAAAAAATAAATAAATTTTGTTTATTTTTATTAAATTACCTCCATACGAGTTCCTTCACCACCTTTAACAATAGGAACTGATTTACCAGCATGAATATGATATTGTCCAATAAGATGACCTTGTAGATTACGAATAGATTTAACTATATAAAAAAAAACAACAACAACAAATGAATATTTTTAGTTTTTTAAAATATGACAGAATATGTAATCAGATGTTTCTAGGAGATTAATATTGTGATGGCAGATAGCAATTATAATATAGGTGATTTTGAGGGATATTCCACGCTCTCTTCCCAATTTTGGTGACCTCAGAATACCCTTGTCAAGGTCTATTATGCACCATTGAGTTGTCAATAGGTAATGTAACCTCAGAGGTACGTAATGGAACTTAATAATAACGGGTGGACCTGAATATATGGTCGCGTTGTTGTATTTTTAATCATCTAATACGTTTTATTAAAAAACAAAATAGAGAAGCTCTACAATATACAGTACAAAGTTTATTTTGTATATACATCTTTAATTATCAAAATAGATAAAATTAAATTTCGATGCTGTGAAAAAGTTATTTTTTATTTAGTACACGACGAATTCCTTTTTGTTACATTCTGATGTTATTTGTAAAAGGAACATACGAACTTCAATAATAACAAATTACATCTGTGTGTATCAATTAATAAAAAAATCTGAAGACCTACGAAAAGTACTTATATGCGAATGATTAGTAATAATATGACATCGTTAAACAATTACAAAATGTGATCAAATGGAATAAACTTAAAACCCAATGATTCATTAACATCTTGTAGTATATTTTATTTTGATAAAATGTATTAGACAATGAAAAAATGTAATACAAAATGCGACCATTTATTCTGGCTACCTGCAAATTACTTTTTAAACAAAATAGAATTTCGGATTTATACTATTTGATATTACAGCGCTGCTCTCCTGAAAAAATATTAATATGCGCTCTCTAAGTAGGATCTTTGCAACACATATCAATGCGATCGAGGGTGAACTTTCTAATATCTACTCTATGATTATCAGATCGTTTTGAAAATTTTTTGAGTATTACAGTTATATATGACCTTGAAGAAGAATGCAAGTCAACATTAACAACTTCTGTATGACGTCAATACAACATTTATTGACTTTACAAAGTAAATTAGTTTGTATCTGAAATAGGAAAGAATAAAACTTACAATGCAAATAATTTCTATTATGAAGTCTGTTTTATGGACGAGGAATTGTTTTTTGTTTTTCTTAAGATTGACATTAGTCTCAAATGAGAAAGAAACTCTTACTATGACGAAGATCTATCACTTCCGACTTTTATTCATCGTGAAGATCGAGTTTTGTGATTATAAATAGCTCCACTCCCAAAGAGAAAATCTAATCTCGATTCATAATCTTTTTCACTTAAGAAATTTAGCATAAAATATGAAATACTAATATGATTTTGAAATTAATATTGATATTATTAAGATAGAGCACTAATGTTTCGATCTTATTATAACGAATAGGTCTTCATATTTTGTTAATATCTCGCTCACTTTTCATGTTACAGACTTTCTTTCAATATCAATAGATGCGTCATGAACTTCACCTAGGTTTGATGAATAAAACGCAGAACAAATAATAATGTGCATCGCCAATTTGAGACTAACTAACAAGTTTAGCGTATTTTGCTTATTTTTCAATATCTAAGATTTCTGTAAAAATCGTCATTTGTTTCTTTTTAAAATATACAAAAAATGTAGGTTTATAATTAAAAATTCTTATCGATTTAGCAAAAAACATTATTTCGTAATACCAACAATCTAAATGCTAAAACAGAAAAATTTTCTTCTTACATACTTGGAAAAAGTTTTCCATCAAGTTCAAGTTCATGACTTTCCATTACTTCTTGAATTGCTTCACCAACATCACATAAACGTACATCAATACCTGCTGTCTATAAAAGAGAATAAAACATAAAAAATTTTCGAATAAAAAAACAAAACAAAATACTTGTATTCCTGTATTTGTTGCTTCTCGAACAGCTTTAAGTAATTGATCATATTTTGGATTAAATGCAAGTGTCCATGCACAATCAATAATTCGACCATTAATATGTGTACCAAAATCAATTTTACATACATCATCATGTTGAAGTATTGTATTATCACCATTATTTGGTGTATAATGAGCAGCACAATTATTTAATGAACAACCTTTTAAAATAGAATATTTTAATACAATTAAAAATTAAATCAATTTTCTTCTTTTCATATTTTCAAAAATATTATACATAGCGAAAGTAGTATGAAAATAATGAATTTTTTGCATTGATTCATTTTGATGATAGCTATTTATGATGAGCTGATGATCACATTTGATTCAGAAATTTCATATCCAAAGTTTTATTGTTTGTTGAATCCACAAAAACATGTAAATATTAACTGCGAACTGTCTTAACTTTATAAGATAAATATAGTATACGTAGAGGTGTAAGCAAAGCGCCTGAACCACCGCATATTTTGGACATTCAAGATCAGTTTTCGTGAATGTTCTTACCAAAAAAAAAAAATCTGCTTTTTGTAATTTAGAATTGATTAAAATAAAATGACTGATTTTAATCTATTTTATCAGTATTGTTTGGTATAATAGCCCGTAGTATGACATATGTATCAAAGAGTTCGAGCATTGTATTTACCATTTGCTGAGCCAAGAAGTCTAAGAAACTAATCAAAAATTTTAATTTCTCAATAAAAACACATTTTACAATAACCGTAATTAAAATCGATCAGAAATTGAATAATCTGATTTTAAACTAAAATGACATTTTTTTTCCCAGTTTTATACTAACCACTTCTCTATTAGCATTTTCTACCTTTTTCATTTCAAAATCTCTTGAAAACAAGAATCATGGAAAACCTTGAGCCACCGTCGATCAATTCATCGACTTACATCTCTAACTATAAGATGTAATACTTTTCATACTTTCTCATTATGTATAATATATTTGAAAATAAATGAAGTACAAAAGAAAAATAATTTTTACCTGTTGGAAATGCTAAACCAGCTTCAAGACCTTTTTCTTTAATTAATTTTCTATTCATATTTTCTAATCGTTCACTATTTAGAAAAAACAAAAAAGGTAAATTATAATAAAATTATAAAAATCATACCAAATATCAATCATTTTCATGCCAGGTTCAATCCAACTCATAACCCATTTTCTTGTTTGTCTATGACATTCAGCTGCTTGACGTAATTCACGATAGAGTTCTATTTGAGTCATATCAAGCATACGTTTTTCTTCATTTGTCATACGATTAATAGCAAGTAATCTAATCATTTAAATAATAAAAAATGATTATTTTTCTAATATGTTTTTTACCCATCTGTTGATGGATTTTTTGGTGTTGGATGTGAAAGAATTTGTCCTTCAGGATAATTTCCATCTGGATATAATTCACAAATAGGTATTGATGGAGGATTTGTTTGTTGAGGACTAGATGTAGTTGTAGAAATACCATTTGCTACAGGTGTTGTAGCTGTAAAACAAAAAATAATCTTTTGTTATAAAAAAAAATAAATGATATATGTACTTTTTTTCTTTTTTTTATTTTTCTTTTTAGTAGTAGATTTTGTTTCATCACCTTCACCAACTACTTCTTCTTCTTCTTCTTTTTCATTATCTGAATAGAAAATTAATATTTTTAAAATTTCCAAAATATAGACGAAAAAAAAGGAAAATCAATTCTTTATAAATACCATCTTGTTGAATAGATAATGTTGATATTGCTTGTGTTCCGTTTTGAACTGGATCAATTTCTGTATTATTATCATTTGTAGTATTTTGACCTTGAATATTTATTAAATAAAAAAAGGATCTTTGTTGTTTTTTTTGCTTAGTTGGAATAATTCATTTTACCTTTGCTTTTCTTCTTTTTTTTTCGTTTCTTTTTTGTTTTTGTTACTGATTGATCATCTACTTTACCATTTTCATCTATTTCATCATCTTCTGAATTTTCAATATCATTTTGTATTTGTTCTTCTTCGAGAAGATTATTTGATGCCATATATTCAAAAAAATGTTTTATTTATATATTCGAAACTTATATCTCAATAATGCAATCACACACACACACAAACTTTTTAACTAATAACAAACAAACCAATAAGAAAATTAATCATTGCCTTTTTTAAGATGTTTTTATTAGATGTCACTACAATAGTTGATTATTTTCTTCGAGAAACATAATCGATGATTAATGTATAAATTCGATTACACTATGATAAATAGACAAAAGAAACATATTTACGAGTCATTGTTATATAGATAAATATACTATGCATATTTGAATATTATCAAAAGTATATATTGTTTTTTAAGTTTGGTTTTCGTCAAAAAAGATGAATTCGAAGAAATCTTCCTACTGTCCCCTTTGCCTCATATATAATGAATATAAATGATGAATTTTAACAGTTTATAATATAATATTCTTTTTTCAGATACTTGAACCAGTTTATTAATATAAAAACAAAAACAATGGGGCAATATATTACAACACATGATTTTTATCATTCATATACTGATGAACCACATGCAACACGTCGAAAAGAAATGCTTAGTAAGTTAAAATAGATGAAATAGTATTCTAGTTTGAAAAATAATCTAAGAATATGATCGAAGATTTTGTCGTATTGTTTTTTTATTCTAGAAAAATATCCTGAAATAAAACAATTAATGGGTCATAATTGGCGTATGGCAATACAAGTTGTTATATCTGTATTCATACAAATAATTGTTGCAATACTTTTACGAGATTCATCATGGTTAAAATTAATTTTTATTGGTTATATTGTTGGTGGTACAATAAATCATACATTATCTTTAGCTTTACATGAATTAACTCATAATTTAGCATTTGGTCATGCACGACCATATTGTAATCGTTTATTAGGTTTTTTTGCTAATTTACCATTAGGTGTACCAGCATCGATTACATTTAAAAAATATCATCTTGATCATCATAGGTAAATTGAATTTTTGAAATACGAAAAAAACAACAACAAAAAAATTTTTTTTTTGTTTTTTCATTTATTTAGATTTCAAGGTGATGAAATGTATGATACAGATATTCCAACATATCTTGAAGTATATTTATTTTCATCACGTATTGGAAAATTTTTCTTTTTACTTATAATGCCATTTATTTATACATTACGACCTGTATTTATTTTTCCAAAACCAATACATATTTTAGAAATAATTAATTTAATTATTATATTAATATTTGATGGAATAATGTTTTATTTTTTTGGTTATAAAACAACAGCATATTTTATCTTAAGTACTATACTTGGTTTATCAATTCATCCTATATCAGGACATTTTATTGCTGAACATTATGTTTTTAAACAAGGATATGAAACTTATTCATATTATGGACCATTAAATGCTATTACATATAATGTTGGATATCATAATGAACGTAAAGAAATTATAATATTCGAATAATTTAATTGTTTTTATTTGAATCATTTTTTAGATCATGATTTTCCATATATACCAGGTCGAAATTTACCAAAAATTCGAAAAATTGCTCCTGAATATTATGATAATTTACCATGTTATACAAGGTAAAAATTTCTTTTCTTTATCTATATATAAAAGAATAAATGTTAGATTTGATCAATAACATTTTAAAGAATTTTCCTATCTTCTTTGATGGAAAGATTTTTCATTTTGTTTTCTACTGTATAGGTTTTTTTCGGCTAAAGGAGGTGTACAGGCATTTCTTGACAAAGCAGAGCAATTTTTAGGCATTGTGATACCTAGAAGGAAACATTTAAAAAAATTTTTGTATGAACTGTTTTCAAAAGGAAAAGGATCCTCTTAATGTACAAAAACTTAGACATATTTTGGGGAAGTAGAGATTTTTAAAATTGAACATTTTTTCTGATCTCTCTAGGTCATATTTAGTAAGGGAAATCTTCTATCAAAAGTATTTTATCGATTCTCTTGTGAATAAGAAAGTAGTGATTGTGTGATGAAAAGCATTTTGAGAACTTATTTTTATGCAATACTGTGTACGAATATAATTTTAGAAAAGGATTTTTCGATAAAATTTATATATTTATCTCAAAAACAAAAAAAAAACTTTCTTAGACTCCTATTGAATTATAACAGGTTTGCGTGAGTTGCAATATCAATAAACAAAAAGTTGCCAACTACGTATATAGATAATAGTCAGAATCTTTGTGTTCTTTTTTTGCGAAGAATTAGATAAATATACGATTCGTTAAGTGAAAAAAGGACGGAGTTGACTTTGCACTAGTAAAATTGATTCTTTATCAGTGGACTGTTACACTGACACAATGATATACATATTTGAGAGGACTTAGTTATTAGATTGCGCAGTATACTAAAATAATATTGCCTAACGACAAACATCGCCATACAATAGTCAATATTTCTCTATCGTGTATATAAGTGATGTTTTTGAAAGAGTGAAATTAATTATCTTTGAAACTATATATATGATGAGTATCTTTTATTTTTCAAATAAGCCAATTTTACTATCCAATTCATCTGTGCTCTTTCGAAAGAAGAAAGGTGTTATTAAATTTGATGTTTATGACGATATCTTTAAATGTTTGCCATTATCGAAAGGCAAATCGTCTGGCATGTTTTCATCGGATTGGATGAAATTAAATGATTATTGACCCATCCTCTTTGCACTCTTTTCTTCCATGAACAAATGGCAAATTTCCTCAAATATGATATAGTGTGAAATTAAAAAAAGAAATTCTTTATTTGTTCAAACTCTAGCTTTTTTTTTTAACTTGATCAATTTATTTCTAGTCCATTTCTGATTTTAATCGTAACATATATATTGATAGATGTTGCATATATTCAAAAAGTTCTTTTATAAATTTCTGGACTTCAAGATTGAGTCTAAGAAAACAATATCACAAATTGCTTTTATCAAAGTTTCAATTGGTATTGAACAAAAAATTTAATTTAATTGAACTTCCGATACTGACTAACACCCACCGAATTGGTTCTAGACCATCCTGGATGTGAGTTCAAAACACTCGAAACCGATGGGATCTAGTCCTGTGAGAAATGTTCAGGGTGCCTTAGTCACCGAAACGAAGTATTTCCCATCTTCGGGGGCGAACTATTCAATTCGAATTAGAAAATTTCATTAAGAGTATTAATGTGTGGGTCCGAAATCTTTGACCCGGCAAAGTCTAGTGCTAGAACAGATCAATCAAACATTTGTTTTGTCATTAAATTTAATTCAAAATATTCTAAAACATCTATTATAACATTTTATATTTGCTTAGTTGGACCAAAGTACTCTACGATTTTGTCATGAATGATAATGTTGGTCCTTGGGCACGAGTTGTACGATCGACAAAATCTGGACGTGATGGTGTAGTAAGTCAACAAGAGTATGAACTCAAATTGAAAACAATTGTTAAAGAAGCTCACAAACGTGATTAACATGGAAATATTCAAATCTTCTATTTTTCTTTCTTGAACTTCATATAGTCATCAGAACTAGAATGGTCTATAATAAATAATCTTATTATTGATGTTTCCAGCATAGGTAGAGCTCTAAAATTTGCATGATAGTCAGTGCTTGATCTTTTTTGTTTTTGTTTTTGTCTTTTCTTCTGTTGTGTCAGATTCTCTTTTGTTCATGTTGCATTCATTTTCTAATTTCTCATATCTAATCGTAGAACTTAATCAAAAAACAAAAGCGCAATGTTATGTTATGTTATTTGTTTTTCTTTACATTATTTTTGTCATTAGTATTGTTCGATTATATTACGTATTGCATGATTTCAAACTCTATATATGTATCAAGTCTTCCACTTTGTTTTTTTCCCTCTTGTGCTAGCCGCCCTATTGTTATTTATATGCTGATATAGCGAACAAAATAAAATTCATGAGATATTCGTGCTGCAGAAGAATAAAACAAAAAAACAAATTTGTGAACAAAGCTTTATTGGCACAATAACAGGGACAATTCTAGTGAAATAAGAAAGCAAGAAAGTACACTCGTATATACGGACGGAAAAGTATGACAAAATGACAGATTGACAAAAAAACAAAGCACGCACGTATGCTTAGCTCTATATTTTTTTGAAAATTCCTTAATAATGGAATGTAACATAGACACCTTTAAAAAGCTTTTCTTCAGATAACTCAGAGAAAAATAATCAATCATATATGCAAAGGACAATATTTTTTTTTCTAAAGTCTATTGATTTAGGCCTACTTTAAAATCAATTTGATACTAGAAAATATTTGTTCGTATAAGTAATCATATGATGAATATTTTGTTTTTTTACATTAACTTACAAAAACGAAAAAAAAATATAAAATAAATTTGTTTTAGGATAATGAAAAAAAAAACAGAAAAGAAAAAAATGTAATGGATTATGTTCTAATAATAGTTATAATTGATTTAATAGATACTACGCAATTGACTTTAAATTTAGAACATGAATTCAAGTTGGCTTTGAATTCAGGTTTTTATTTTTTGTTTTTCTTTTTTTTTGGTAAAATAATATCGTCCTTTACATAAAAAAATATAATCTCTGAGATTTCTTCATTACCAACGAAAAACACATGGTGTTTGTTTAGAATAAGAAATTTTAACGAGAACACAACAAAAACATAAAAACAGATGCGCTTAGGTGTTTTTTTTTTTTTTTCTTTTTCTATTTATTACATTATTCATTTTTTGAATGATATCCATTGGTAGTTACTGTTGATATTTGTTCACTATTTGAAGATATTCTTGTATGTTGTTTATTGGAATGTTTTTTCATATAAATTAATTTTCTTTCTTCTTTTGATAAATGTGTTGAATGTGTATTATTATTATTATCAATAACGTCATGAAGTACTTCATTGACTTTTGATTTATTTTTTAAATCAATAGCATTATTTAATTTTAATGCATCTGAACGTATTGTACGACGAATACGAGATTGTGGTCCTAATCTTGGATCGCGAATAAAATCATAAAGTACTTTTACCCAAGAATAATGACATGGTCTGTTATCATAATAGTCTGGTGCAATTTTTTTTAACTATTTAAATAAAAAAAGAAAATAATAGTAATAATAAAATTTTAAAGAAAAATTATTTAAAATCTTTTTACCTTTGGTAATGAGTAACCAGGAATGTTAGGAAAATCATGATCTATTAAAAATAACAATAAAAACAAAAAAATTCTATAAAGAAAGAAAAACATAAAACTAAAAATTCTTACGTTCATTATGATAACCAACATTAAATGTTAAATAATTTAATGGTCCATAATATGAATAAGTTTCATATCCTTCAACAAATGTATAATGTTCTAAAATAAAGAAAATTAAAATAATATTGAAAATATTCAATTAATTAATCTTACCAGATAAAAAATGTCCAGAAATTGGATGAGCACCAAGACCAAGAACTGTACCAAAAAATAAATAAGCCAATGATTTAAATCCAAGAAAATAAAAAATTATAAAATCAAATATAAGTTCAATGACAAGATTAATTGCTTCAAGTAATGTTACTGGCTTAGGCACACGTACAAGTGGTCGTATAGAATAAAGTAATGGTTGTACAACAATATAAAAAAGCTTTCCAATAGATGTTTGAAATAGCCATATTTCAAAATATGTTGGTAAATCTGGATCTAACATATCATCACCTTGAAATCTAATTAAAAAAGAAAAAGAATTTATATTTATCTTATTCAAAATCAAAAAACGAAACTTACTTATGATGATCAATATGATATTTTTTAAATGTCACAGATGATGGTATACCTAATGGTAAATTTGCTATATATCCAAGTATTCGATTAGCCATTGGTCTATGATTACCAAATGCTAAATTGTGACCAACTAAAATTTTTAAAAAGAAATAAAAACTATTTTTAATTATTTATGTTGTTTTATTTTCTAATACGTTCATACTTTCATGAAAACTAATCGAAAGCGAATGATTAAGTGTACCACTGATAATATATGTTAAAAGCCATACATATTTCCATTCAAGATCGCGAACTAAAATAGCCATAATGATTTGAATAAGTACAGTAATAACAACTTGAACAGCGATACGCCAATCATGGCCCATAAGTTGTTTAATTTCAGGATATTTTTCTATAATAATAAAGAATATTTTGTTTTTCATTTTTTTTTAAAAAATGATTATTATAAATTAATACATACGTAACATTTCTTTTCGACGTGTTGTATGTGGCTCATCAGTGTAAACCCATTGAAATTCAGAACGTGAAATACGGCCACCCATTACAATAATTAAATTCTAATAAATAAAAAACACCTAAAAACGCAATAGAATAGATAAGTAAAATTTATGGACATTTATATAACTTCTATGATTCATCATGTGCGTACACAGTAATGATAGCCCCTATCTTACATTTATTCCAGCGCCCCTACAATCTTGTCACTCTTATGATAAATAAATATCTTTTAAGATTAAAAAAAAAAAGAAGAAGAATAGGACAAAGTCTTTTTATTGACGATCTAACATCTTACTTTTTGTTTTAACTGCGCATTCAATCATTTAACGTATTCGTGAACGAAAGAAAAAAAAACGCTCCTCTACCCAACAGATTCAGTGAACTGGAACAGAGCATTTATTAATATAGATTGTTACTATGACGAATGTGGAATGTGTATTAAAGAAGAACGTCTTAGAAATTTCGAATACGTAATAAAAATTCACAATTGTTGATCAAATAATGATGAGGGAGTTGAAATTGATTTAGAGAGACTTTTTCACAAAAAAAAAAGAAAAAAAGAAAGAAAAAGAAGCTTTGTTTCACCCTCTCTATCAATAGAACAACAGGGTTTGATAGTTTCTTGCATTATTACATCGTTCTTTTTTTTTTCCTATGAAAGATGAAGAACATAAAAGTCTGGCATCGTATGATTTCTTTTTTCTTTCTTTTCTTTCAAATGGCTCAACACAAGTCATGTCTACCACAATTGGCTTTGCATAGAAAAACAAAAGACATATCTCATGCATTGTATTAACATTTATATAAATTTCAAAGCTATCTGCATTTTATATTTGCTCACTTTTTCTAAATCCTTCATTATATGAAACCCGATACACACGACGTCTAATTTGAATATATTTCTGTTTAAAAAAAAAAAGAAAAAAGAACGCCAGTAAAAATATATTGATACTTTGATCTTTATTGTATTATCATACACAAAAAAAAAAGGAACAAAGGCTCTATTGTATATAGTACAAAAGTACAAATGATTAAACATAGATTTAAGTATATTCAGAGTGTGAATCACAATACAAACCTGCTTTAGGTTTGCCACTATCATGATCCTGTATGTCTTTTTTCTACTGCTCTTTTTTATCATTATTGTTGCTGTCTCTCTTTTTTTTTTATTCTCTGCATGTTTTTTCACTATGCTTTTACACATTATACAACTTTCTGTTACCTGATATAACTGACAAAATAGAGAACGAGAGAAAGAACATGACCAGAGTCATAAAATGACGACAATTCAAAATTATATATATATACATTCTCTCTTTTCTTTCTTCCTTCCGTTTTTTTTTCTTCTTTTATTTTAGTGACGAACATTACGGTTACATGTCGTCATGACAAATGTTGATTATTTGGCTTTGGTTTCTATTTGTCATCCTACATAGTTGACGACAGCAAACGGGCACCAGTTGGTTTTACATATTGTTTTTTTTTTAATACTAGAATGAAGAAGAAAAGAGATGTGAGAAGAAAAGGAAAAGAAAAAAAAATGTCTATCCAAGGCCAGGTTTTCAGAGCCGATTATCACACATTCAAGGTGATTCAATCTTTAATAAATAATAACAGCTGCTAGATACTTGTCAAAAGAGGAAAAAACTGATATAATAATGATTCATGAACTTATTTATCTTATTGATGCGACATCTTATATTGAAAACATTAATCATAGCACTTCCAATATGACTCTTGTCCTTTCGCCTTTATATTTGAAAACAAAAAATAAAGATACTTTATTAACAAAACGTTCTAATAATAATAGTTTCTTCTTGAATTCAATCTTTAGATTGTAAAAAAAATTACATTCTACATTCATTAAAATCATTATTCTAATTAAAATAGAAATATGTTTTTGTATCTTCGAATTTGATTAATGACAAATGAATAAATTAAAAACATGATACTAAGAATGAATGATGATTAATATTGATATAATTTCAAAAACAAGTCATTTATCTTTGAAAAGTAAATTTATTTAAGTAATGAATATACGTCATATGAAAGCGATTTCGTAATGATAAAAAATTGATATGTATCTAATATCGAGAGTAAACATTTGTAAAATAAATTGAATATAAGATGAATCATTGATTCCTATAAAACGACATTATAAAGTGCGCGCAATGTACGTAGGATTCGGGTGAAGGTTTTTCTTTTTCATTTCTTTCAAATATGATTTTAATAGAGCTTGCCGAACTAGTCATGAATATATACTTTTTCATTTTAAATTAACTATTGTTTAAATCGATGACGGATCAAATATTTTTCAAGGGTAGAGGGGGAAGGAACGGTCATCAGCAAAAATCACATTCGGAGGCTCATTCGAAATAGTGTAAACTTGTTGTTGCTGGAAAAACATTCTTCAATGAAGTAACGACCACTCCTTCGTTATTTATCCAAGAGAAAGAAAAAATTCGAATAACTGAGACATTAGCCTTGATGCGTACAAATTGAGTAATATTTGATAAATTAATATCGAATTAAGAAAATTTTGTCGTCTAATAGTAAACTTGAAAAAAAAAGACCTATTTAGTATTTTTAGATTTTTGTTTTGATTATTTAAAAAAAATTGATGCTTTCATCTTTATAATGACAAAAAAATAGATGCACTAAAAATTCGATAGTAATTAGCAATTTTCATTATCATGATTCAGCGTCAAAGCAAAAACAAAGACCATATTCAGAATCAACACAAGAAAAACAACATTCATTCAGATGCATTTTAGCAAAAACCCGACAAAATCTCTTCAACTCTATTAATTTATTAAGTATAACTCAAAAAAATCAATTTATACGCATCAATGCTAATGTCGCAGTTATTCGAATGCTAAATAATAGTCAAATTAAAATAAAAACCATATATTCATGATCCACTCGTCAAGCTATAGATAATCAACAAAAAAAAAAAAAACCTCGGATCATACTTAACTATATGAAAGTCATTCATATTTTCCAATTAATTTATTTAATTAAGAGATTTCAATCAAATGATTATAATTGTTTAAGAAGAACTAAAGTATATTGAGTTGCTGAAAAGCATCTGAAAGATAAACAATAATAAATTATCCTTGGAAAGTGAGAAAAAATCTATTGCATGACACGTTGATCTATATTCAATAGTAAGGTATAACAAAATAAAATAAATATTCTTTAGTTTTTTCAATATGTGGATTTTATGCATAGAACAATTATAAACTCTTTTATCGAAACGAAACGAAACGATTGATTTGTCAATGTGAGTTTATAATGATTCATTTAAAATAGAACAAGAATAGGTAGATATTCCGAAGTTAAGATAACATAAAGTTAAATTGAGTTATCGCGAATCAATAAATTTTATTACATTTTATCAGACCTCATGAAGTTTACTGTTTCTTTAGTAGATATATAAGTCTATATATAAAATATACCATGTACGATCATTTTATTGAGACATTTTGATTGTTATTGGTTGTTAAATTCGATATCAAGCAAGGTCAAACCTTCTCAATCCTATAGATTAACAGAGATAGCAAGTTTTATGGTGGTTTATAACAAACAAAGGATGTCAATGTATCAAACATTTGCTCAAGAAGACAGAAACAAGTGTTGTGAACATCAAAATCTGCAAGATTTAATTACGGTTGAAAATCCATTTTCTTCCTTTCATTATAAGACGTAACAATTAATTAAGGGTGTGGGTGTGAGTGTGGGTAAATACAGAAAATATTAGTACTTACAACCACACTCCTGATCGAGCTCGTTGATCGGATTTTTTCTAATTCCGGTTGTAACCAACCTTAGGGTGTGGATGTCTGTTTAACTTCACGTTACCCACACTCTTCTGCATATATTCTAATCGATTTATTATTTAGTGAAAGATAAACATGGAAGTTTGATCAAATTCTTCAATACCACACCATCGAACTAGTCTTTCAATTAATCTTAATAGCCAATGAATATTTTCATAACAGAATGAGCTAAATAATGATTATTAATTGATGCATAATTTGATACTAAAACATTATCAATTATAATTGTACCTGATGGTGTTAACGGTGTATAATAACCTTCTTCTATTGTTAAATAAATATTTTGAATTTCTATAAACATATTTTATATGATCATCAAAATGTAGTTGATTAGCAAATAGAGCAGATATTAATTTTGTATTATTTGCTAAGAATATTAAATGATTATGTGATATAAATAAAGATTTTGTAATATTTCTATGATCATCAATTTCTATATTAGTTAATAAAAAACTAAATAAATCATTTCATTTTAAATGAATAAGATCTTCAATAGGTTCATAAATTAATTGATTTTCTTTATTCATAACTAATGCACGTTCACCAATTTCTATATTTGATAAAGATTTCATTAAACCATTTTCGGTTATAACGATATTTCGACCAGGAAAATATTTTGATTCACGTCTATTAGTTACACAAGTATATTGAAGTACAATCATATGTTGAATCATATGGATCAATTTGACTGTTAAGACAACTAAATGATTATATTAAAAAACATAAACAAGCAATAGACAAAATAGATATTTGTATATTGAATGAAAGTATGCAATTAACCGTTGAAATAATCGTGAATAAGAGTGCTAAAGAAAAAACTCCGTCAATGAATAAGACTATTTTTTTTTGGTTTTATTGGACGGTGTGCCAATAATAAGTAAGGGCATGACCTTTCTTCATTTCTATTGGTTTAATAATGTCAAAGCCATCGGTCAATATATGACAAGACGCAGCGTAATGAGCATCTACACCGAGAATTAAAGTCCTTCATCCTATACTCTACTATATCCTACAAGCTTCGCATCCCAACCCTACTCTATCCTGTAGGGTAAGGTTACCCTGCAGAATTCTACCGAGGATAGTGGTAGTGAAATAGAACGGAAGAGTCTCATTTCAGGTGCTTTGTTTATTTTATGTTATAGGCGCGTTGAAATGAAACTAAACAACAATTAATTCTTCAAACGATTTTTTTTACAGAGTTTTTTAAATTAAAATTATTGATGCAGTGCCTATTTATGTCAAGAATAGTTAAGAGTATTAGATTTAAATGAGTTTTCATTTATATCTCATTTTATGCATGATAAAATGATTATTAAGATGCTATTATTTGATCTAAAGTGGTTAACTGCTCATAATATCACTTTCTATAGCTGATCGAATTTTAAATGCAAATTAAAACGAAGAAGGCATGTTGACATTTATCACAATGAAAATTCTGCTAAAGTATATCAACACGAAATTTCGAATTTTTCTTTGCAATGATTTCAAGAACGAAAAAATTGAAAGATATTTGTTCGAATGTAAAAATAAAATTTCAAAAAGAAACAAGAGAAATCTCTTCTCTAATCCTTCAGACAAGGTCGTTTTTACTTAAAAATGACAACAATAAAAAGCAATCTTTTGAAGAGTTTCTTGTTTTCCAAATTCGAGATAGTTAAAACATCAGCAGCATAAAAAAAATCAGCGATCATTTTGATTGAGCAACTAAAATGGTACGTTACAGCTATAAGTATAGTTCATGATAGAAAAATGAATTGTATAGATAATTAAATTGTCATTCAGTAGTATTCTTTAGAAGCATGTTGTTATGTATTGATAGAGTTTTCTTAGTAATGAGAATATTGCAATGTCTACTTTTCAATTCGATCAATTGATTGAAGCATAACTTTTCTAACTACATTGGTAGAAAAACAGATGGTAGTAACAAAATTGTCTTGTTGAAATGAAAAGAGTGGAAAATCAGATCACCAATATAATTTTAACATGGGTCGATGTTTTATTCAAAAACATTTTACGTAGCAATTGATTTCAATCAAAAATATCTTACACTTATATAGATATATATAATGGTTCTATCTAAGCTAGAAAAAATTATTTCGAACATCTATTAATCATAAAAGTTATCAGATCATATCTAAAATTACTACACAAACTATGCTTTTGGCTATGAAACATCTTAATCCACAGAAAAAAAAAATCTTGTTTTTAAAGTAAAATAATTAATCTATCTTTAATGATCATATGTTAAAAATAATAGATTTTCTAAAAAGAAAAATAATGACACTAATTCAAAATTAAGGGTGGATCTGGGTGTGAGCGAGCGAGCGGATGGGTGGGTAGGTATGGGTGTAAGAGCAGAGAGTTGTGGCTGTGAATCTCTTCGTGAACTACTTACACCCACATCCTTAATACACGCGAAGTCCTCAAATCCCCAGATATATTCAATATGCAAGGATTCTTTTTAATCTATCGTTGATACATATTTGCAACATGATTTCTGTAAAATAACAAAGTGCAGATGATATAAAGAAGGTAGGCTATCTAGTAAATTGCTTTAATGATTATTTTCGAGACAGTTGCGAATACTATCGATACATTCTTCTATTTGTCGTTTTACATTTGCATCGGTTACAAGTTCAAGTTGTTTAGTGTAATAGTTCATTGCTTCGATTAGATCACCCGCTTCCCAATATGCATTGGCAATAATACCGCATGTGATAGCTACCTGAGATCTATCACTAGATGGTGTTGCCAGTTGAATATTCAGTGCTTGATGATAACTACTTAGAGCTCTGTGGATATCGCCCGAGAGATGATGTGCAGCACCAATAGAGTTGTGAATCATTATAACAAAATTCTCATTTGATGAGTCATATATGAGCGCTAGTTCGTAGTTTTCCACCCCATTGGTGAATTCATTTTTACCGGTAAATGCGTCACCTATATAAGAATGAATTTTGCTGAGGATAGATGGATTTTCAGTAAGTGAAACGACTCGAGCAAAATACTCTATGGCCAAATCATTGTTTTCAATGGCTAAGTAGCATAAACCAATATTTTGATAGATAGTTATTAAACTAGAGTTGGATGGAGGAAGATCAACATTATCCAAAGTATCAATCAGTTGTTCATAGAAATGAAGAGCAATAGAATAGTTCTCCATTGTCAAATGAGCCGTAGCGATATTATTTAGAGTAGAAAAGCGCTTCGAACTATGATCAGTTAATGGAATAAGATCAAGTGCTGTCTGATATTCTCTTAATGCCAATTGATAGTCTTCATTTCGATAGTTTGCTGTACCCATATTATTGTACAATGAACATAATTGACTCCAAGATGCATGGCAATCGAGTTGATATTGAAGAGCTTTTTCAAATGAACGTATGGCTTGTGTATACCTACCAATATAGATATTAGTTAACCCAATGCTTTCGTAGGTATGCGCCAAATGAGACGCACAGAATGGGATATTTTTCAGTTGAATATTAAGTGCTTGTTCATACAATTCTAACGCACGATCAAATTGTTTTTCTTCAATAAAGACACGAGCTTTGTTTGCATAGGATACAGCAAGATCAGGGTGTGTAGTTGGTAAAGTTTTGCGTTGAATGGCTATTGCTTTATCATAGAAACTATGGGCATCAGTCCAAAGCTTCTGCTCAGCGTATAATAAGCCCATATTGACGTAAGCATGACTAATCAGAGGATGATTAGTAGGTAGAACAGATAGTTTTATTTGCAAAGATCGTTTGAGTCTCGTGAATGCCATATCGAATCGATGTGCTTTTATATCAACCCTAGCCATATTATGCAGATCGGCAGCAATTAATGGATCATCAGTCGGTATAGACTTTTCGTGTAGATTCAGTGCGTGTTCAAAGTATCGCATAGCATCATCTAACTGATCTATTTCAAAATGAATCATACCCATGAGATTGTAAGCAGTGGCAAGATCAGGATGAATATAAGATAGCATTGTCAGCCTTTCCAAACCTTGACTACAGTAGTCGAGAGCACGAGTAAAGTCATTCTTACGAAAATTGACTGCAGCAATGGCCGTCAATATAGCACCAGTGTCTTGCTCGTTTTCGAGCTCGTTCATTAGTAAACAATAGTAGTGTTCTGATTTGTCCAAATCTCCCATTTCAGACAGAAAATTTCCTAACGTAACCAAAGTTGGTCGCCCATTTATTTCCGTACGCAGAGAGAGCATGACATCGTGCCACTGTTCTTGAACATCACTGCTGAGTTCAAGTTCCACAGACCATATGCCATCACTAAGCTCACTTACATCTATAATACGAAACACAGTCCCTGCACTGACTAAGACTTCGTCCTCCTGTGACATATAACTGTGATGTTGTATGTTAGCAAATGGCTTCTCAGTTACATTTGGGTATATCTTTATGGTAAAAATGACAGATTCTAGGTTAGGTCGACCCAAACCTCCACCACAAAATCTAGATGCAACATCGGAATGAATCGAGGTAGAAAAATAAGTATTAATCGAAATAAGACCATTGATATTTGCACGCATTTGTTCAACTTCTTCAAATGCCATTAGTTGACCTCGATATACTTCCGGTGTTTCCAGCGTCGTGGTAGCCACTGTGCATAATTGTTTATGTAAATCAAGAATAAACGAACGATATTTATAGATTAAGTCAATGTTCTGAGTACGCATTGCTCGGTTGAGTAGTCGAAAGAGAAAACAATCTCGCGTATACCATCGAATGGCGTCATTAGAACAATAAGTCGTTTCGAATTCCTCAATTTTACTTGATTCAGAAGGATTTTTCTCGTATTCTCTCTTGCATTCATTCAACATCTCTCGTTGTCCATTAAGTGTTTGTTTTGACTGCAGTAATGTTTCAAAGAGCAATTGAAACCACATAAACATAGCACTTTCATTGCTCAGATTTCGAATTGATCTCTCCATTTTGCTTAAATCATCTCGTTTGAACAAACTGATTGATGCAGAGAGCTCTTTCGAATATAGAGCAACATCTGCGGTCAGCTGATTTAGTAGAATAGTACGATCATTGTAGATGCCACGCACTTTCCCATAGTTTTTTGTCCATATTTCATGTTGTTCACGATTTTTACAATATACGTACACATGGCAAATCTTCTCATCATTTTGAAGTTCAGACATTATGATTTCGCCTAACTGACCCGAGACGATAAGGAAAATACGAGTATCCCAATCAATGTGTGCCACGTATTGAAGACAGTCTGGTATATTCGTGAATGTTTGTAGATCAGAAATAATTGAAGTAAGCATAGAAGGACGATCAAAGAAAATATCTGGCTGGGCATTGTTACTATCAAGCCAGACGATCGTGAAATCATGAATGGAGGAATTCATGGCAGCCTACCAAAAAAAGAATGAAGTTCGTATGTATACATCGTGATGGAAAAAAAATGCATAATAAAATCATTCGGTACGGCAATACAGAGAGAACGAGCATAAAAGAGAAGAAAAGCAGTACTGGTTCGTGACATCATCGTCAATGAATCATACTATACACGTGCAGAATTTTTTTCAGCAATACATCGTTTCTTTTTCACCCTATACATTGTACAGTTAAACAAGAAGTAATTATTGATTCAATGTCGATTCACATGAGTATTGACTGTTTGTTGTTCTTTTTTCAAGTTGGAAAAAACCAACCATCGATAGCTCACGTGGGTGTGGGTTAGAGAGCTGCGGGTCCACGTTTTTTTATGGATCCGGACGCGGACTTGACATATCTAGGCCCAGGCCCGATTGAGTCGAGATCTGTTATATTTGTCAACAATATCCGGCACCCTCTGTGTATATGAACAAGTGATGGATCAAAGTTTTAGCTATGTATTGCCTACTCTCAAGAAAAAAGTTGATGTACAGTTCTCATGTAAAAAATTTTAGCAAAAAATTAGAACGTTCATGATTTTAATCGGTTTGAAAAGCAAATACACCCACACCCATACTCTCAAAAATCGATCTCAGTTCAGAGGAACGTTCAAATGGCCTGAAATTTTCACGATATGTTGGGGCTGTAGTGAAGAAGCTTTGCTACAATTTTGAATCCGATATCATGACATTTGAGGAAGATGTAGAAATTTTCTTTGTTTGAAAAAGCATGTCAGGGTACAGTGCAGTGCAGAGATCGAAAGTTAAATAACTCAAAAAAACTCTCTACAAAATGGCGCTCTAATAATTATATACATGTTTATGTAGATGGTAAATTAAGAAACTAGAAATGGAGAAAAACAAAAAAGATTCTCTGTTTTTTCTGAAAACAGCTTATTTTTCGAATAAAGGATGACAGAAATCTTCAAAAATTTTTGGGAAAAAACAAGGTATCAAATATCTGGGTCGTTTATGAAAGATCAGATCATGAGCTATCTTCCTATGCATTTATCTTAATTTCGACCAGAAAAAAACGAAATTTTCTTCTCGATATGAGAAGATCGTCTGAAACCGCCTCCTAAATTCGCCATTGAGTATATCGAATCCAATACAAAATGAATGTTTCTTCATTATTAAATACACATTATTATTGATCTTGCTTCTTGATGACAATCCTTTAGAACAACACGAACAGATTGAATTAAAGACTAAGTCATTTAAATTGTGTCTAATGGAATAAAGATTCTTTTTTCGGCTCGGTTTAAAATTTAAAAAATCTGAACCGATCCCATCTCTGGTCTGAAGGCCTCAACGAAACAACTTGAATAAGGATTTGTAGAAAATCAAGACGATCCAAGTCAAATTTCTCGTATCTATTCGAAGCTTTTGACAAAAGTTTTTATTGTATAGAGCAAAATAAGACATCTTCGACCTCTCCATGAGAACTTCCTTCATTGAATTACCTTTCGTACTCTTCATAGATTGAAAACAAGTCGATGAAGGAAATACATGGAAAGTTCGGTGACGCCCTATTTTCGAAGGTCTTAGTCCAAGCAGTTCTGTTGAAGTCTTCGGACTTGCTACTGCTTATAGAGAATTGTTTCAGCAACACAAATATTTTATATTTCAACGTTCATTTCAGGTTGTGTTTCACAAAAATATAATATCAGAAACAATCCATGAATCAATTCTTACATATTTTCATCCGATTTCGCTTTATTGAACGTCGAAAGTGTCTCTAATCATCGATTTAAAGCATTCTCAGCTTTTTCTGCCGAACGATTAAACTCTTTTTGTTTTCACTGCTTTCTCTGTAGTCGCTGCAGCCGATTCTTCGACTTTTAAATTTTGTAAATTAATATCGCCTTTTATTTCTATTTTATTCTCCACAATGATTTCAAAATAATATGAAGCAATATAAAAGATGAGTCGTTCATTTGTCATAAAATTGCATTATTTTCTTCTTTCTATTATCAGTTCTTATTTTGGATTACACCTGATCAATACACATAGGAAAAAAAGATAACATGAGTACTACGAATCGAAACAGTATTCCAAAAGTTTATTCCGAATAGTGGATTAATCATCGATTTTTATCAATTTATACATCCATTGTAGCGAAGAATCCGAATGATGAACAGTTTTCATGAACGAATCCTAGAAAAAAAAACAAAGGGATAAATGAATTCGAAATTGAAAAAATATTGTTAAATTCTTTTGGAAAATAGATCATATCGATTAAAATAGAGCGAGTAGACATTCAACTTGAAACAATGATATGTTTTTCGATTGAAACGATATTCATTTGATGAGTAATAAAGTTTAGGATAGTTTTGTTTTTCGGATCCTCGTTGTTTTTCAACAGAAACCTGTAGTCCTACTCAGATCACATGAAATTTTGCATAAACATTAAATTAACTCTTTGGGCATATTGTAACTTTTCTAGTTCTTTTTTTCTATCCTAAGACATTGAATAAACGAAATTTTTCTTTATTAACGAATCTCGTTAAGAGCTTTGTTCACGAAAAGTTTGAAGTCGAAATTCTATTTTGTAGATGACTTAAGAGGAACTACATATTTTTATGCTGAAGCATCCAGTAAAATTTCGATATGTGAAGAACGAAAGTTCGAAACAACAATACTTCGTCAGTCAACTTTTCATATTATCATCTTACGTTTGTCCTTCGATAGATAGAAAAGTTTGTGATAAGATTTTATATACAAAAAATAATCTCGTCTTTTTAATATCTAAATTAAAAAGCAAGAAAAATTTTGGATGATATGTTGAATAATGTTCGGTGATCAACTTTGTTGAGGAATTATATTGAACATCTAATTATATTCTGCTTTTGCAGATTGCGACTATCCAAAATGAGGAAAAAAGTTTCGCCATGGCACAGCTTTAAGCGTTTTCTCTTCGTTGGCAACTATAGATTACGATCACTAAATTCATATTTTAGAAACTAAAATTTGTGAAAAATCAGAACTTCTACTTTAAAGGCTTACAACAAAATGTTTCTTCCTATTTTGGATATTTATTAGGAGGAAAGAATGAATTCCAAAAATACGGTTTATTTGAATCAGAATTTCATGGTTTTTTTCTAAATATGTATCCATGAGTTATTTCTAATTCAAATATTCTGTAATATAAGCAGATGTTTGAAACTAGTCTGAACTGAGATCGATACATAAATTTTACTTGGCTCATTTTTTTTCTTTTTATTTTAGCTAAAAGTTATTCAACTCAAAAACCTAACTTTATAACATGAAGTTAGTTCCGTAGAATTCCTTATCTAATTACATATTTACATAGCAGAATAAAGACTGAAAACCTATTACATCATAAATGACGAAATTATTGATTTTGTTCTGTATAAATATCAATCAATACAAGTTTAACTCAGCAATACATAAAGGAATAATTAGTGTCAAGGCTTTTGTACTCTATATTATTTTAATAACTTTAGAGATGATTATAGAATTCTACATAATTGTGTGAATAGTTCATTTATTAAATTTCTATTTAGGCGCCAATAAAGTTAGTTTTGAATTATTTTAAAAGTAATTCAGTAGAAGTCACTTTTACTTTTCTCGTAGCTATGCTCATTGAACCAAACAACAGTTCTTATTTCGTTCGTTTTTCTCACGATTTAATATATCACTATAGTCAAAACAAAGAAAAAAAGTCAACCAGAATATTCAGTCGCCATACTATTTCATAAGCTGAATAAAACAAACTTAAAAGATTAATTATTCAAAATGTAGTTAATATTAATAGATAGATAAGAAGACAGAATAAATAATATATTTGAAAATTTTGACTTGATTATAAACGTATTCGTCCTTGAGTAAATGTCAATCAAGCTGAGCTAAATAATTTTTCTATTGAAGCTATAGTCTTTATGAGCACGCGCATTTACGATTCCTTTCAGTTGTTAAATGAGTCAACATTTTCTGAATCTTTTGGTTTAATTATGAGAAATTCTCATTTGAAATACTTACTTGTTTTGATGATACACTCATTTGTTTACTTGAATCGAAACTATTTGACCATTCATCTTCTGATAAATGAATTGAACAATTAATTTTTCTTTGTTAAATGTTTATTAGGTTCTGGATTGAATAAAAAAGCTCCACTTACTCGTTTCTTTGCTTTATAAAGACCACTAAAATTTAATCACATATAGACATATTTATTCAATATTAATTAATTTTAAAAAAAGAAAAATTTTCAAAATGTTTAAATGCTAAATCTAATAAATTTAGACGACTAGTTGAACGTCAATCTGAATCAATGTCTAAATTTTCAAGTGATGCTTGAATAAGTGAAGACTAAAATAAAAATTGTACACTATGAGAATCGTTTTAGCTAACTGATAAAATACATAGATTTTCTTATTTCCATGATGATGAGTACTATTCGATAATGTTGAAATCAATGATAATGAAGATATGTGTATGACCATCAATTGAACAAAGTATTCCAAATTGTTCAGTTTCTTGAATTAGAAAAATTCTATTTAAATAAAAATAGAGATTGTGTCAGTGCAGCTCATTGAAGACTATAATGTAGAACTCACATGTGTTCTTTAGTCTCATTATACTCCTCCCAAATACTTGAAGTGAAAAATTTCTACCAGATTATAAAGAATGACATGAGAAATCAAATTTTACCCGTTTTTGTTTCTGAAGTTAATATGATTTTCATATTTTTTTCATCTTTGACTTTCTTTACTTTTTGGGGTGTGGGTGTGGATTTTTGTCTAGAGAAAACTACTCCTCTGTTGAATCGTATCACATCTAAAAACTTCTTCAATATTCGTTTTCTTTTTATTTATACACTTAAAGTCATACAATATATAACTATATAACTTTTAGTACTTTTAAAATAAAAGTCTATAATGATCGCATTCGTAAACGATTACCATCAGGATGCTATGAGAAATGTGAAATAGATTCTAATGGAAATATGATGAGTAAGAATTCGGCAAACGTCCAAATTTTCGTCTAGCATATCTCTAAAACTTACAGTCATTCTATTTTTCTTCGAAAAAGAAAACGTAATGTGAGTTCCACAAAAAACAAAAACAGCCAATAATTTTATCATCAATTGTTAATGATGATGGATTAATATCAAATAAACTTTGAATATTCCCCAATTGAATAAGTGGAATCTACTTTCATACCGAATGTTTTTCACATATATTCAAGACAATCGGAGAAAAGAAAACGAGTTAAATGTAGTTGTATTGTTGTTAATTCTTGTTGAAGTTCAATAACTTGAAATTTTTCTATATAATCACGATGTGCAGCAAGGAACTCTGACTAAAATTTAACGACAATTATCAATAATATGAACAATATTGAACATTGATAAATGTTTTTCCGTTTTTCTACTTTGTTCATTTAATTTTTTTTTGCTATTTCACATAATTTACCCAATGAATCAATTAATAATTGATGATCAATATGTTTTATTGATGTATATTTAAGTAAACGTTGAATAAGTCGTATCATTAAATACAGCTCAATATTGTTCACCTAATTCAATGTTATGTTCACGAATCTATTCGAAATAATTTTTATTTTTTACATTATCTATTCAATGACATAAAACTACCTTAAGAAAACAAAATAAAAGTTATATGAAAAATAATATTAGAATTGATTACAAATAGTTCATTCGAAAATGCAAGTAACGATCTGTATAGATGAGTTAATGTAATACAAGAAAATTCAACTAGTCCATCACTGTTGCAATTAAAATCCAATAGGTGTCCGACTTCGATCGGATCACAAGAATACAGTATGAATGATTTGTTCAGTACGGGGCTGCCAGATCTTCCGAATTTTGGTACTTTTTCGTAACTCTTTCGAATTTTGAATATTTTTTCGAGACCTTTTATTTCTCTAGATTCGAGATTTAATGACTTTGGTTATAACTTCTAGTTTAACTTTCATTAGCAATTCTTGCGTTGTCGTTGTTCTACTGTAATCATTTCATAATATAATTTTGAGACTATTTATAATGTAAGATTGTTTGAGTTTCAAATCTATCCGAACTCAATGAAGACTTTGTATTGTTTAAAAAAAATGTCATTTGAATCAATGACTTCTTTGACATGGACTGAACTTTAAGTTTAGAAAAGTGTTTTTTTACATGAAAATTGTCTCTTGTTATCCTGAATTAAATTCAGCCATGAATGATGAAGATGATGATTCAGATGTGAATTTAAGTGAGATTGAAGAAAGAAATAAGTATATTGGCAACAATTTTTGCACAAAATGTTGATAGAGCAACACATATGTCCATAAAAAAGGTGGTATATATATTCGATAGTGAAACAATTGCTTTCCGAACTTTTTCCGAAGTAGAATATAAAAAATTCCGGATTTTTTCGATTTTTGGTTAAAACATTTCGATTTCTAACTTTTCGATCTGGCAACCCTAGTTTAGTACGAGAAGAATTACATAATAGTCTATGAAAATTGAAATACATCAAAGGTATCAAATCTCGTTACACTCGATAATTTTTTTCTAATGATTTTATTCGACTGATAAACAAGCAGAAAAAAATTTATGCATTCTTTTTGAAAACTATTGTTTGATTGTTGAGAAGCGAGTTCGTATTCAGACTTTGCTATCGTATCGAACAATCAAATAATGCGTGTAGAAAAACTATACATAGATTTTTTTTAAGCATATGACTAGTAAAATCTTGAAAAAATATCGAGCCTGTTGATACTTAGTCATTTTATGATGTATTTTTTTTTTGCAAATATAGTTTTTGCGACAATAATATTATCGAGTCTATTAACAACAGAATATTTTCACAAGCAGCTCAACAGGCTCTATAATTTTTTTTTAACTAGTAAAATATATTTCATTGAATAATTATCTTACTTGAATAATATTTAATAATATTGTAAAATTAATATTAATTTTCATTCGATTTCTCTTATATTCCATTCCAATTAAATACTAATTATATATGTTAATATTCTGTTCTTTATAACAATATTGTCATCTAATACATACTCATTTTTATTAATATTAAAATGTTTCCAAATTTGGTATAGTATTAATTTGTTCATGTACATGTGAATGTTTATCTTCATATTTTTGTTTAATAGTTGTATTGAATAATAAATCAAGTAATGGACTATCATCATATGTTGATGGGAAAAGTAATAATAACGAAAAACCCAATAGTGTTGTTGTTTGATTATTTGTTAAATTACCTATATACATAGATTCATCAGCGTTATCTACGCATTGAACATAAACATTTCCAAAGCCATTAAAAACAATGTTATACATGTATATTAGCCTAATCTTTTTTTTCCTTTGTTGATGAATACATGCTTGTACATGAACAATATATTGTCGATCTTAACATGTATAGAATAGATATATGAATATAAATAAATTTGTATCCAAAAGAACAATATATGTTGTTTCATTCATTTCTGTTGTGATAAATCCACCTAACAAAGAAAGATTTTTTCAAACTTATATAACAGATTATTTTGATCTAAAATTTTATTGATACTTAGATTTTTTTCGGCAGTTTATGATATCAAATCAACTTTTGAATATTAAGTATCTTAACGAAGAATTAATAGTTTCAGCTGAAATATGTACTTTTTAATTTTCCAGCTAATTATTCGATCAGTTGAAAATTCATAAAAATGATTGTAACAGTTCATTTGACGTAATGTATTTTGTAATTCACATCGCAAATAAAATAATAAACAAATAACCATATATAAATGTTGTAATTGATTATCATTAATAACGGTAAACAAATAAAAATAAAATAAAATAAAATAATGGTTTAGCACGATATATTTAATTAGTCTTAAAAAATTTAATTCTAAATTCTAATTTACGATAAAAAAAATGAACAAAAGTTTTTTTTGCACATGATAATAGAAGTTCAGAACTAATAGTATATCATCATTGTCTTTTAAATATTAAAATAAACAATCATCAAATTAATTCACAATCGAAAGATGTTATTGACGTTGAGTTAATAAAATTTTTGTTCCGGTCAACGTACATATTATTGTTGTTCATCATTAATAAATTTATATTCCAAATAATCTTCAAGCGATGATTGAAATCAGTGATTTAAACAAGCAGAATCGATGAAACAAAATGTAATTCCTTGAAATAAAAATAAAAAATAATTTTCATTTAATCCAAAAGAAATGTATTAAAAGAAAAACAACATAAAAAATGACAACATACCGTACATGTGGTTGGGCGTGTGTGTGTTCATCAACTCTGTACACATACTGAACATGTGAGAGATAGAAAAAGAAAAAAGAAATAGGCCAAGAGATCAATATTTCTTTTTTTCATTCTCGCAGGTCGAAAAGTATCGACTGGTTCCGGCAGGAAAACACCGGAAATAGCCGGAACATGAAAGCAGTATTCCGGTCGGAAATTTTCGGAATTTTTTCTGATGATCTTCCACTCGGTTCCTGCCGAAAAACACAGAAAATTGGTCGGAATCCACCGGAAAAAATCCAGAGAATTTCCGGCAGGAATACTGCTTCCACTTTCCGGCTATTTCCGGTGTTTTCCTGCAGGATACGGTGATTTTTCCCGCATTTTCCTGCCGGTCCCTGCAACATCCGATGGCCGGAATGATGGACCTGAGCTCTCGTCCATAAGTTACCGTCCATGTTATCATTGATGATCAATGATCAACACGTACAATTAATGTGTGAAAAAAATTAAGCTTTATCCGCACACATACATTGAGATATTTGTGATCGAATACATCTGAATGTATGTGTGTGTGTCTAGATTAAAGCTTAATTAAACTCGACGTGTAATTATTTTCCGACGAGAAGAAAAATAATGAATATTTTCCCATCCAAGAAAAAAAACAATTTTTCGAGGTATAAAAATGAATGATTTCCAACGAAGAAATCATTTAATTATTTGAATCAAATAATAATAATTTTTTTTAATGTTTTAGATTGACTTCAACGATACAAAATTAAACAAATCAATACCAAACAAGACAATAGGATAAAATGTAGGTATAAGCTTTAAGCTTTTTTCTTTTTCTTTCTTTACGATCATATGGAGGGTGGTAAGTTCTCCCATGATCTTTTTTATGAATTGTTTTTTTTTTCATTTTAAGTATTCGACAGTGAAGAAAACGATAATAGTGGGGGCAAGTGAACTGATTCTTTTCCATTATATAACATTAATTGAATTTTTTCTTTTCTTTTTAGTCCTCAATATCATCGCGTCATCACTATCAACAACATCATGGTTCATTATCAAACGTAGTGAGTAACTTTTTTGTTTTTTAAGATGAGAACAGATAGTGTGTCTCGGAAAAGTGAGTGTTAGTGGGAGAAGAGGTGAGTTCTGTCCTTTGAGTGTTAGGGTTCCGTCTTCTATGAAGAACTAACAGGTAGTCCCTAAAAGCCCGGCCAGGAACCGTCTCGGTGTCCGTGACCACGACCGGATTCCACAGACTCATTGACATATCTTTCGAGTGGGAGGGATGTGAATGATTTGAGTCTGTCCCGTGCGTGCATGAGCGTTATGCTCGCCACGGCTCCACCAGGGTGGTTCCTGGCCGCGTGCGCGCGAATAGAGTAGACATTCATTTCACCAATTCAATGCGATTTATTTGAAAGAAAGGAAAGAAAAAAAAATCTATCATGACGAGTCTATTCGATTGAAAAGCGTTGAACGCGATGATTATCCCAATCGACTACATAGAGATTGCCATATCGATCGAAGGACAAACCCCAGGGACCCTTGAACTGATTTGCTTCTGCTCCTTTACCATTTCCACCCATAATGACAATGCCCTGTTTCGCTCCTTTAGGCCAACTCATCACTCGATGATTTCCCCAGTCTGCCACATAGATGATACCCAACGTATCGATGAACAGTCCGTAAGGATACGACAATTGTGTCAGAGCATTTCCTTCCCCTTGACCTCCAGCGACGACAATTCCTTCTTTTGCACCTTCATTCCATTTCGTTACACGATGATTCTGGTTCTCTGACACGTACACAGTCTGTTGTTGATCGACAAAGATGTAGGCCGGCCAGTTGAGTTGATTAAGACCAGCACCTTTGCCATTGCCACCAGCCACGATAGTTCCATTCTTGTCTCCTATTCGATATCGTCTTACCTCATGTTTCTTGTAGTCAGAGATGTAGAGGTATCTCTGATTATCCAAGGCCAATCCCCAACAACTGATGTTGTCGATGAGGATTTCTCCTTGAGTTGTACCACTACGACGAGACCATCGTACAACTCGTCGATTCTTCGAATCACAAATAATGAGACTATCCGTCTCTTTGTCGATCAACACATCGGTTGGATGATTCAATTGATCCAATCGATTTCCTTGGCCATTGCCACCAGCTACTACTTGTCCATTCGTATCACCCATCTTCCATTGGATGATACGATGATTCAACCAGTCAGCGATGATCATCGTTTGATCATCATCAACGAAGAGACCATGAGGCCAGAAGAGTTGATTGATGGCATTGCCCCATCCATGGCCCCCAGCAACGGTCACTCCATTCTGTGCCCATCGGGCATCGACTGGAATATTGGAAATTACTACAATGAACGAAAAAGAAAAGAAATCGCTGTTGTCGAAGAGATCCCATCTGTTGTGGGAATAAGAGCTATAAATACGACATCCATCTTTGAGAATGCTCATTTCACAGATAAAAGTTCAGAAGTTTTTTCCTAGTTTCCTATAAAAAAGAAGGATTTGGTGACGATTCTTACGTCTATGCCACTTTTAGTTTTTGTCAAGATCTTTTTGATCATAAAAACAACACCTGGAGATTGCTGTAAGGAGGTCCCCAAAGAAAGAGTAATGCTAATTCTATGAAAGCTTTTGATAGAAAACTATTGAGATCTGAGGATTTTATTCGGAATTGCGAGAATGCAGAATCTTTTTGTAGGATGATCATTTATATGAACATGAGACAAGAATTTAAGTAACGAAATAATGAACTATGCGAAACTCGTAAAATGAGAAAATCCTGAGAAGATTTTATTTGCATCCTGTTAGGAAGATGTCAAATCTAATCCCTGTTGTTGGAGAACTTCGAGGATGCTTTTCACGTTATAGGTCAATTGAGGTGGATCGTTAGAATTTGATCTTATATATAAAGAAGAATGTCTATCTGTCTGTCTGTTCTTTATGGATTTCCACACCGTACGAGCGAATGCAATCAAACTTTTCAGAAATTTTCTTTTCACTCAGGAGAAGGTCAACACCTCTTTTTCTTTGCAAAAAGAATTGATCCTTCGCCCGGGAAAAGCATGCCTATGTTGCTGATCAATCAGATTGCAGTATTCGGTACTATAGAAGTACTATTGAGTAGCACTTCGTAAACACACAGAAAAACGTGGAACTACAGGTTTTCGAATCTGATTGATTGGTCCGAAACCGATAGGAATCGAGTTTTTGGGAAAACGAATATCAAGAGTGACCCATGTCATACACAAATCCAGCTTTTGGGGAAGTTGATCCCTGGAAGTCGTGTGAGGAGTGGATTTCGAATAAAAGTCTATGACGCTGAAAATTTGTGCTTCATAGATATCGACTCCTTAGGTTGTTAAATGATCTGTCCCACAAAAATCTTTCTGTCTGTCTTTCTTTGCAATCAATTGGAATTCAGTGTGATTTCAGTAGTACAAAATGTGACGTTCTAGATCAATTAGATGTGTCGTTGTGCTTAGTTTCGATCAAAGCGGATTTTTCTTGCGACACTGTCGAAGAATCGATTGTCCACGGGAGCTCCTCACTAGAAACATAACTATACAGCTCTGGAACCGGGAACGTGACCAAACGCGGCCGGGTCAGTCAGAATCGGGGTCGATCGAGATGGGTATATACTCTTATAAGTGCTTGGTCAAGATAAAAAATTGATAAAACTTATAAGTTTCATCAAGTTCTTCTTGATCCAGACACGTAAGGACGAAGAATCCTTCACTTCTGACCGATTTTTTAATGTCAGTATTTCATATCCGCCGAGAGTGAGAGCAGCCGTAGCCGTGACTTGAAATATGTCCAACAGCCATAACCAGGACCGGAAGAAAAAATAAGGTTTTATGCGTGTCTACTCCCTACTGATTAGGTTTTCTGACATGTTCTCGAGCGCAATAGGAGTTTTGCTTGCATATATTAAGACTGAACTTTTCCGGGCAACGCCGGGTGCTTCTACTAGTGACTTATAATTTTGAAATGGTAAGAAGAGAAATACTAATCCAATCGAAGCTCTCCATAGGATAACATATGGATATGTAG